AGAGAGCCGATGGTCATCGACGGTGTTGGCCCCAGACGTACATTTGTGGACGTACGTCATTGAGACATTCGAGTTGGACAGTCAGGGGTGGCGACGACCTGGCACGACTAGTATAGAGGTAGTGGGCCACATTTATTACTCGCCGGAGGTGTTAGCTACGGTCTATTTTCAGGGCCTCGTACACGATCATTGGCGAGAGGAGCAGGCCGCGAGGAGGGTCTTACTGGCTAGAGCGGACTCCGCGCACGGCAAGGTAGAGCGGCTACATGGGGAAGTTCGGAGAGTGACGATGACCTTCAGGATTGGAGGCCACTTCCCGTATCCTAGCAGTCGACTGCGAGTGACACTTCCGTGCTTTGTGGCAGAGGAACTTTGGGTACTTAAGCGTCTGGGTGACATCTACTTTGCGGCTCTTGACTTGGACGGCATTTGCCAAGGGTAAGCTGACAGGGACTGGGTGCTGTATGCGCAGTTTGTAGCAGGGCCGCTTGTAGGCGAGCGAGGGCTCCAGTTGATTGAGTTCCTGCGGGCCATTGTACCTACCGGGAGCCCTGACCTGTATTCTTTGTACCAGCCCCTAGCCTTCTGGACGACGCTCGAGAGAGAGGCTCGGAGGCCAACTGATCATTTAGCTGGAGTGGGACAACTGTTAGCCGAGACTCGTGAGGAGAGGCCGGGCTATCTCATCTCGACCGGGGAGGTTGAGGAGTATTACCGGCAGGTATATCTAGAGGTTGACGATCTTGCGTGGTACGCCGAGGATCGGGTTTGGGAGGACTTCGATGACATAGACCCTTGGGGCGACCAGGACGAGGACTGGGGAGATCTGGCGCGGTGTGAGGGACAGGAGCAGGTAGGTGGAGAGGCGCTGCAGGAGGACGGTTGGGGCCATCTCCTTCAGGCCGAGGGGCAGGAGGACATCCCATGGGGGCAGAGGGTAGATGAGGATACAGATGAGGATATGCCAGATGCATGAGACGACTGGAGTCATGATAAATCCGAGTGAGGTTTAGAGAAGGGAGTAATGGAGAGTATGGCAGACCGGGATATGTTGAGGGTGACTCTTTCCCTACGACGAGATAGGACGGGCGGCTGGGCAGGAGAGGCGTTAGACATTGTTGAGCGACAGATCAGACTCATGACGGAACATGCCCTGGAAATACGGAGGAGCTAGGGATACATCGAGTTTACTATCTACTTCCATGGAGCAGACGGGAGAGCACACAACACCTACTCGACCATACTGGACCTGAGTGGGAGAGTTGACTGAGGAGTTAGCAACGTCGAGAGGTAGGGTGCGTCGGAGGGAGTAGAGTGATGCTGATCGAGAGCCGGAGTGGAGATGAGGAGTGACTCAGTAGCCTAATTAGCTTATGTTCTCTCACGAGAGTCCGAATCGTATAGCGTGAGGAAGCTTGTGGGACCCAGAGAGACGGCGGTTGGATACGACATTCCTCTTCCCGTGGCGTTAGAGGGGACAGGGCGTGTTCCGATACGATACCTGGAAACGTGGCTCGCAGAGGGACTCTTCCTTTGGAAAGTGATACTGAGAGATGAACGACCCGAGAGGACTCATGACCTAGAAGGGGTCGGACATCTGATAGCGGATAGAGCACACGATTTAGAGGTAGGACTGACTCTCGCAGGGGCAAGCAGGGCTTGGTGGAGAAGCGAGTCGTTGGCCAGAGTGATCGTTAATCAGCAACTGGCGAGACTCTCTGGAGGGAGGACGCATTAGAGCCGATTGGTATACGGTCCACCGCATCCGACCCTCTACCCGAGAGAGGATTGGCGATTCGGACTTCCTGCCTTCGTGATAGGGCAGACCTATGGGAGCGTAGAACGTTTGAGTAGAGCAGTGGACCACACACTTTACGTGCTCTGGGAGGGCTTAGCGCCCCGTTTCAGGGAAGTATACTACGCCATTTGTGTGAGGTGGGGACTGCCCAGTAGAGAGACGCTTGACGACATCATAGACGTTACTTGCTGGGTGGACTGTTTGAGGCCAATCGATCTGATTAGTACTGCAGGAGACGGACGGAGATCGATTACGTAGGGCTAGAGGATGTGAGGTTTCTCTTCGAAGCCGCAGCTTAGGGAATGTCGGGGAGGACGGCCACGGTGATACGTGTAGGGGAGCAACTGGTAAGCACAGGGTACACTGTGATAGTACTTCTCCAAGCATACGTAGACGAGGACTTGACGGCGAGCGAATGCGGACGACGAGCTAGGGAATTGATTCACGAGCATAGAGCCGATGTACTGGCGCGGGTGACCTTCCAGACCTCGATTTCCTATGATGTGATGATATGGTCTCATGGTTATATGCGCGAGGAGCACTTCCACGACGAGACGATAGCGGAGGCTAGAGCGAGGGTGAGAGGATGAGCTGGAAAGAGATAAGGACTGAGTATGGAAGAGGAGAGTGAGGCGGTCGGAAGAGTGAGAGAGCCCATTAAAGAACCACTCTTGAACCAGGTTAAGGGGTTGGGGAACAAGTTAAAGAAGATCTGGTCGTGCCAGGAAGAGGGCAAGTTGCGTAGGGCAGAGCTCGCGACGAGAGAGTTAGAGAGTTTGTTTAGGGAGGAAAGAGAGAAAATCAAGGCATGGAGATCAGACTTTTTGGAGAGAGTAAAGGCTAGGAGCGTATCACGCGAAGGAACTAGGGAGAGGTCTGCAGAGGGCGAGTCGACGGAGGACAAGGTAATGCAGGGTGGTAGCGACAGGACATGAGCGGGACTGCACTAGACACGACGGATCAATACTCATTGCATGTGGTAGGGAGACTGGACGGACCGTTGGTGTTAGTGATCGTAGAGCTCCAGCTCCATACCAGACTGTGCATAGTCGAGGAGGCAGAGTGTGTCCGCCGTGCGCTGCGTGAGGCTAGAGGGACAGGACTTTGGATTGGAATAGAAGGAGGACGCAGGATAAAATTCGTACTCCAAGTGACACCTTTCGAAGGGCGGTCTCGGATAAGGGCATGGTACGAGACGACCAGAGAGGCTGAGAGGTCGAAGATAAGCGAAGCCATGAAAGCTGGAGAGCTAGAGAGAGTTGTAACAGACGGTGCAATACTCAGGGTGCTAGCCGCTCATGATCGGTACTGGAGGGAGACGATAAAGACTTTAGAGGCCATAGAGGATAGTGGAGATGAGGAGGATTTTGAGACATTCTATGACATTTTGGAGTCGTCGGCGAGGAGGTTACGAGTGGTTATAGCACTGACTTACCTCAGGTGCTAGACAGATGACCTCATAGCCGTTTGGGGGTTAAAGGAGGAGAAATAAAGGTTGGAAGCTCTTGGAAAGAAAGTGGAGGTTAGAAAGGTCGGCGAGCGACTTTGGATAGCAGTAGGAGGAGAGCTTCCACCTTTAGCAGGCTACTCGATTCAGGACGGGCTAGGAGACCTAGCAAGGAGGACGGAGATAGACGCACGGAGGCTCTTGAGGGGTGCTGATCACGAGACATTGGTTAGGCTTGGGACCGCGATCTGCTGCAAGAGTAGAGACCCTGTCACGGGTGTACTGCAGATCCGGAGAGGCGCGGCCTTATTGGTTGATCCCGAAGGAGAGGTTTACCTAGACACATGAATTATTGGGATAGAAGGAGAGCACGAGATCCGCGACCAGTACGGAGTACTGGAGGTGGTAATCAGGGAAGTCGAGAGCTAGGATTGGAGAACGAGTGTGAACCGTGACAAGAAAACTGGTCCGGGCTGCGACAACTGTCATAGGTCCGGGCTGTAACACCCGGTGAGAGTGCCTAACTGCATCTCCTGGAGGCCTATAGAACCAGACACGATGGGCCCACAACCGACCACGGCCGAGACAGGGGAGGAGTATAGGACATCGTCCGACCGAGCTCTGAGGGATCTGAAGGAACGAATTAGGCGGGAAGCACCGCTGAGATGGACTGACCAAACCAAAAACGGAGAGCCCGACGTAATGGGCGAGTCGGTCGTGACAGAGCCGCAGGAGGCTTTGAAGACAGGAACCTCGAGCGGTCGACGAGAAGAGACGAGACGACGCTCCCCCGAGTATGAGCAGGGAAACCATGGCGGATAGGCACAGGGACGACCGGAGAGAGAGTTCGAGGGATTCTTATTGGAGGGACATAGATAGAGACAGAGCGCCGCCCAGGCGAGTCTTCGACCCCCAAACAGGGGCATCACAGAGCCTCCTACTTTTAGGGGTTATGGCATCACAGAATATCTGGAGAAGTGGGAGTTTCACGCCAGCCAAAGTCAGTGGTCGGAGGAAGAGATTATAGAGAACTTCCTATTTAATGTGGAGCCAAGTCTCGGTAAGGAAGTTAAGGAAGCTCGACCGAAGGATGGGAAATGGACTACGTACAAGAAGAACCTCGTTGAGCTTTACAAATTGGAGGATAACAAGTACTCCATCAAGGACCTTGAGACAATGACTCAAGATAAAGATGAGAGTGTACGGGTATTTGGGATGCGTTTCCAGAAGATCTCCGACGTGATGATGAAGAAGGGAAAGATCTCAGAGGTCGAATGTTGTACTATCTTCATCGGACACCTGTCCAAAGGTAGGCAAAAGAGTATACTTAGAGATCTTCCGCGTGACAAGCTTGACTTCCCTAAAGCTCGCAATAAAGGCAGAGGCAGACGACCACAAGGACTTGGTGTGGAGAGGGATGAGGAGACGTGACTTCTCTCTCTACAAGGAGTATGCCACTGATAGATGTCCTGATTTTAAGGACTATCTCTGGTCAGAGAAAAATGAAGCCGTCCCCGAGGAAGTGAAGGAGATAAGGGACATGGTAAAGGGATTGACAAGACAGGTTATAGAGATTGTGACCACCACAGGAGCCACGACATACCGGAGGAACACTGATTCCTGGAGGAGTGTCGAGGATAAAAATCCTCGAACCCTGACTGATTATCGTGCGAGGGAAAGGGAGAGAGACGATGAGCCATAGCGACGTAGGGATGATGAGATAGACCGGGACCGCAGGACTCGCGAGACGTATGGGCGTGCTAGGAGACTGGATGACTACTCGAGTAGCCCTCGCTATGAGCCTGACGGGGGTAGAGGCGACTCTCGAGGCCGGTGGGAGTCGGATCAGGGCCGGCGAGACGGAGGGATGGTAGATATGCGAGATCGGACCGAGATGGACATAGGGACGACAGATATGAGAGGACAGATCGAGATGGATACAGAGGTGGCGGATATGAGAGAGGAGATCGACCCGATGATTCACGCGGGCGATACGACCAAGGAGACCGACGAGATGATTCACGTGGGCGGTACGACCGAGGGGACCGACGTGATGATTCACGTGGGCGATACGACCGAGGAGACCGACATGATGATTCACGCGGGCGATACCAACACGGAGACCGCCGCAATGATTCGGGGGGCAAGAATGAGAGAGGGGGATACGGCACGTCCTCTGATCCGTATCCGAAGTCCCCTGACTTCAGAGCAGCGAGAGGTTCGACCTCCAGAGGCACGAACGACAGGCCACCCACCCCCAGGAACTCTTGCGTCTACTGTAGAGGGGATGATCATATCAAGAGAGATTGCCCGGACCTCAAACGGGCAATAGATGAGGGGTTTGTCGTGCTTGACGACCGCAAGTACGTCAAGTGGGCAGATGATCTGATGATCTGGGAGATGTATCGATGTTCCCTTCGATGAAGGAGAATGTCGAAGCAAGGAGAGTAAAGCCGAGTAAAAGGAAGGAACCGGTCAGGAGTCAGAGCATCAAGATAATCTTTGAGGGGGATATGGCGACCACACCCATAAGGGTGGCAGCCACCAAGTCGACGAGAGGGTCTACATCAAAGAAGACTGACACGGATTACGTGATGGCATAGAAGGACGGACAACGGATCGATGGAGAGGAGGTTATCCTTTCGCCGCGGAAGCGGGGAGTGAAGAAGTTCTTGATGAAGAGTTCGTTGGACGAGATTGACACGGTCGAGCCACTGAGGCGGGCCCTTCGGCAGCCCATGCAGTGCTCTATTCTGGAGTACCTGGCGGCATCGAAGCCGGCTCACGATGAGTTACAGATGATCACGCGGAAGACTTGCATACCTCTATCAGAGGAGGCTCAGGGGGGTCCTAAGACGGAAGCTCCTACAGTGGCAGTAACGGGAGTGACTTCCAGAGCAGATCGCATGGCGACAGTCCTTCTTGATGGGATGGAAGGTGTGCCTCCAGACAAGTTTTACATACTTGGTAGTGGGGCCGTAAAGGCGATCATAAATGACGGAGCGGTACTAGATGCTGTGATCGATAACGGCAGTGAGGTTGTCATTATAGACGAGGATCTGGCAGTGCAGGTTGGACTGGGCCTCGATAGGTCATACCTATTCGAGATAGAGACGGCTGATGGGAGAAAGCAACAGATCACTGGGGTTTGTCACAAGGCAGCCTTAGAGGTCCAAGGGGTGCGAGTAACCCTGCCTGTCTTTGCAGTCAAGAACTGCAGCTCCGATCTGCTCTTGGGACAAACGTGGTTGAGCCACGTGCATGCGGTGACGTTAGAGCGACCGGATGGGAGCCAGACATTGTCCATTAAGAAGCTAGATGGGACGCGGGTTATGATTGAGACAGTGGAGCCTCGGGACCCGAGGAACAGAGCAGATCTCGCTGTGGGTGCAAGACTAAGTGATCAGATTAAGTCATTACCTATCTCCGGCCGCGCGGTGCGATTTTGCGAGAAGAAGTATGGACCACTGCTCACAGAGAAAGAAGGTCGGATCGTGGAAGTGGAAGATTGAGGGAGTCGGTTGGTAGTGGACGGCAACTCGTACCCAAAGGAGACAGATGAGGAATTTGGCGGTGTGGTATTTGTATTTTTTTTAAGGGCACGACCCCCTATGGGGGGCTACCCAAGCGACACAAACGAGTAGCTCAAAAAGTTAAGCCAACGGCGGTGGGCCGCGAGCGATCTGCACTGAAAGGGATATCGGAAGAAAAGATTGCAAAGGAAATCAAAGAAAGAAAGAAAAAGGAGTCGCAATGCCTAACGGAAGAGAGAATAGCAGGGATTGATATCGGAGATGGAAATCTGGCCCCACAGGAGCGAGAACGTGTGATAGAGGTCCTAAAGACGTGCGATAAGGCTATAGCCTTCAGCGACGCGGAGTGTGGTAAGGTTGAACCTCGATACGCAAAGCCAGCAAGGATTTATATGATTCCACATATTCCTTGGAATGACGCAGGATGGAAATACGCCCAGAAGGAGAAGGAAGAAGTTATCGCTTTCCTGAAAGAAAAAATGGTTTCCCATGTTGCGGAGCCGTATGATAGCGCCTATGCTAATCGATGGTTCTTCCTACGAAAACCGAATGGCAAGATCCAATGGATCCAGGACCTTCAGAAGGTCAACGCGGTGACGATACGAGACGTGGGCTCAGTGCCACACACCGACTTACTGGCCGAAGGTGCCGCAGACAGGTCGATTTATTCGGTCTATGATCTGTTCTCAGGCTATGATGAGGTATCGCTTGATCCTAGTGACAGGCACCTCACGGCTATGCACATGCCATTGGGACTGATACAGATGATGGTTGTCCCTATGGGTTGGACTAATAGGGTAGCTGTTTTCCAGAGATCCATGGTAGCTGTCCTCAAGGACTTCATCCCTGATAAGGTTGAAGTTTTTCTGAATGACTTTCCTATAAAAGGGTCAGTAAACAAGGATGAGACAGAGGTTGCACCAGGAATTAGAAGATTCGTCGACCAACACCTAACAGATATTTGCGTGGTACTCGAGCAGCTGGACGATGCGAATTTAACGACAAAGAGCAGATGGGTCGTCTCGACTATTAAGATCTTGGGCTTTATTGTGACTCGAGGGGACGCCGAGCAGATCCGGCGAAGCTAGACAAACTTCAGAACTGACCGTCACCGTTACATAGTCCAACCGAGGTCCGACAGTTTCTGGGAGTTGTCGGTTACTGGCATATATTCATACGAGGGTATGCGGAGAAGGTTGAGCCATTGAGGTTACTCCTTCGAAAGACTGAAAAATTCTATTGGGATTCCTCGCAGGAACTCGCTATGCAAGAGCTTAAAGATGAATTTAAGGAGGGAGGGCTCGTCCTGGGCGTGCCGTTCTTTGATGATGAGGCTGAGAGACCCTTCATAGTATCCACGGATGCTGGACCCTGCTCGGTAGGAGGGTTGCTGTCTCAGAAAGATGCTGAAGGAAAGGAAAGACCGTTAAGATTTGAGAGTAGGACACTTAATACGGCAGAACGAAACTACAGTCAATTCAAGAAGGAAGTGTTAGCTATTCTGCGGTGTCTAGACACGTTTAGACACTATATCTATGGGCGTCGGTTAATCTTGAGAGTAGATCCCACAACGGTTGCCTCTGTCCTCCAGAAGGACTTTAGTCTGACGGACCCGACCATTGCACGATGGCTAATACGGATTCGGCTATATGATTACACAGTAGAGAGGATATGTGGCACTAAAAATGTCGTAGCGGATGGGCTCTCTCGGATCCCTCTTGAGGCCGAGCGCCCGATGGTAGCGGGAGCCCTGACAATGGCGGAGCCGAGACGCGCCGAGCGATTTTTGGTTAACCTTTACGAGGGCAAGTACCGAACGATCGGGCTACACCTGTCAGGAGAGGAGAGTCAAGAATCAGATATCCGGAGACAAGCGGCGCAGTACTACCTCAGAGCCGGCCATCTATTTCGAAGGCCGGTCGGCTCGGGGATGCCCTTATGAGTAGTCTGTGACCCTGAGGAGAGACAAATGATAGTTGCGGAGCTTCACAACGGGGTAGTCGGAGGACACAAGGGAGTCAAAGGGACCTATGAAAAGGTACGCAGGTTGTACTGGTGGGAAGGACAGTATAAGGACGTCGAGAGGCAATGTATGACCTGCGAGGAGTGCCAGAAGAGAGCTCTTGTGAAATACAAAGAGCCACTTCATCCATCCTATCCAACAAGACCAGGAGAGAAGGTACACATTGATCTGGTGAAGATGCCGAAAGGAGTAGGCAATATGAACTATGTCGTGAACATACGAGACGACTTCACGGGGCTCGTGGATGGTAGACCTATCAGGAGTAAGACGGCAAAGGAAGTGAAGAACTTCGTGCTAGAGTACTTATCTAGGTATGGTTGTGTCAGAAAGATAGTGATGGACAGGGGGGCAGAGTTCCTAGCTGACGAGGTTCAAAGTGTGTTCAAGTGAGATGGGGCGAGAGTTTCGATAGCCATTGCCTACCACCCACAGTCAAACTCCACAGTAGAGAGGGGGCACCAGACTCTGATAGCGTCACTATCCAAGTGGTGCAAAGGTAAGGACAGTGATTGGCCACGATATTTTCGATACGCAATATGGGCGGACAACGTCACGGTTCGGGCTAGCACTGGATACCCACCATACACCTTGTGGTTTGGGCGGCATTGTCCGCTGCCCATAGAGTTTCACGTCGACAGCTGGACCACCGTCGATTGGGCGGACGAGATGTCCAGAGAGGAACTCATAGCTGCCCGAACAAGACAGATAGCCTACGGTTTGGAAGACAACCTTATGACAATGGCAGATCGTCTGGCACTGGAAAGGGACAAAGGTAAAGAGAGATGGGATAAGAACGTGCGGATCAGAAAAGAGAGGGAAAGCGTAGGAGATATGGTCCTTCTCTACGACGCAGCACTGGAGAGGACCTGGACCGGAAAACTCGCAAACAGATGGATGGGACCTTACAGAGTGGTTGAGGCACTCGACTGGGGTGCATATATGATAGTAGAATTGGACGGATCTAAGTGGAAAGACCAGTGGCGAGTGCTAGGCTGAAGTTGTTTAGACCCAGGCCCGCACCCGCCTTATCGCAGACAAGCCCGAAGGGGAAAGGAAAAGTCAAAATGGAGGATGGAGCCCCCTTGAGGCGATTCGAGGCAGGGGAAAGTTCCAAGAAGAGGAAAATAATAGAGAAAAGAAAGGTCAAAGGGTTGGCGATGGGAAAGAGGAAGAAATAGTTATTCGTGCTCAAGAGAGTCAGACGGAGAGTTCGTATTAAACAAGCAGACGGATCGGCACCCTTCTCGGGCCAACGACAGAAGAAAAAGAGGGTCGTGCCAAGGTAAAAAAACAGAAGGAAAAGGAAAGTCAAGGAACATCTTCTTAGCCCCAGAACTCATAACAAACCGAAACTTAAGACAATTAAACGCCGATGTGGGCGTCCTTTACTGGCAATCACCCTGAAACTCATCCGCTTCGTTTGACGTGAGAGGTTAGGGCTCGACGGGGGCGTCGAGAAGTAGTCCGGGCTAACTGTCAGGCGGCCACAAGCAGTGCGCCGCCTGAAATCTGCGGCTTTGGGACTTCGGCTCAAAGGCAAGTCCGTGTTTTGACGGTACTCTGGTTCGACCGGAGAACAAAAATTAGGGGAACTTTGGGCACCCTTGACTTTGGGCACAATGAACCTTACGAGTAGCCCTCAAAGATAGCGAGATGGGTGGGTGCACTCGGCGTATCTAGAGACCGTCATTTCCGGCCGTACAGAGGGCCGGACCCGGGTTGGCCTGCCACGGAGAGGCATCGCGGGAATAGACCTCGCCTCAACGATTTTGCAGCATACGACCGGGGCCGAAATGAGGCCTCAAATTTTGACTATTTTAGTGCCATAATGAAAGATGGGAGAAAGGGATTAAGACCAGTAGGGGAGAAGAGAAAAATATAATATCCCTTAATTTCTTTATTTATCACGACATTTGATTCTAGGGGGAATAGCCTTGCTATTCTATGTTCTCGGCATGAATTTAAAAACATAGAAAAATAATAAAAATGGTGAAAGAGAGAAGAAACAAAAGAAATTCGGCCAATTATTGAAACTTTCTCGGAATTTAATTTTGCCGAATTTACGGGTAATTTACTATTTCGGGAAATAGAATTAAGAAAAAGAAAGAATGATCAAAAACAATGAGAGGGACAGGGACCCATGACTACTGGGAGATTGACCTGATTTTCGCCCCGATTGCCCGCCATCAGCTTTGAACCCGGATTGATCATTTCCCCCGGATTTTAACAGTTTCCAATACTGCCGATGGTCGAGGTTCCCTGCGTCGCTTTCCCTGGTTTGCTTGATTACTAACATTACCGCAGTTGGGATGTTCTGAGAGCGGGAGTCGCATGGACAACATGGGGTGATGCTACCTTGGGTCGACTATGGAGTTTGGTTCGGTACGGATACGAGGGTTGTTACGGAGTGGCTACGTCCTACGGTGTCTGACGTGCAACAAGTACGGTATGGGCCCGGAGACAGTTGTTTCACTACGGTGGCTTATCTTCAGGTTTGGGACAGCTGCGGTGATTTATTCTTAGGACCGGGGCTACTACGATAGTTATTCCAGGTTTGAAACCTTGGCGGCAGTTTGTTTTCAGGTCCGGAAACGTGGCGGCATTCTATACCAGGTTCGGGACAGGTACAAAATTATCATGGCATGGTTGTACGGGTTCGGCATCCGCGTGGCACAGCAGCCCAGTACTGGATTTCGGGTTTGGTCAGGTTCGGTGGCATCGCGGTGTTTCGTTTTAGGTTCGACGCCCTCACGACGATTTATTTCAGGTTCGGGACCTCTGCGGTGATTTATTTTCAGGACAGGGACGACTGCGGTAGTTCATTTCAGATTCGAGAACTTGATGGCAGTTTATTCCCGAATCGGCGCCATCACGGGTACTTATTTCACCTTCGGCGCTACCACGACAGTTTGTTTCAAGGTTGAGGCCATTACCAAGACATATTGCAGGCACTGTAGTGATTCAATTCGAGGGCCGGAACCGGTACGACAGTTGTTTCGGGTTCAACATCAGTTTATTTCGGGCTCGCTGCTACCGTGATACCTCGTTTCATCTTCGGTGCCGTTATCGTGACTTATTCTCAGGTTTGGGGACACTGCGGCGATCTATTACCTGGCCATGGCCACTACAGCAGTTTATGACAGGGTTGGAACTTTAACATTTTGGCTGCACGGTTCTGTGATAGCATGACACAACAGCTTAACTCTGCTCTTCAGGTTCGGTCAGACTCGGCGCTGGTGCGGTGCAGGCTATTCAGGTTCAGGATAGTGCGGCAYGATGCTCGCCMCTGAATTGGAACTGTGTGGCAGCAYGTCCGTGGTCCTTTAGTTCTAAGAGTTGTCCTGGATGAATGTTTGAGTCCAACATTGACACGCTTTGCTACAACTTCACGTGATTATTCCCGCCCGGGGCTGGCGCAGTTTTCTCAGGTTCCTATTATTGCTTACAGTTCCGGAACCAGCGGAATCGGCTACTGCAGTGGGGATAGACATTCAGGCGCAACTGGCCCGCGGATTAATTGAGGACTGGCCCAGTTGTGACGCGCCTGGGCCTTAAGGGCCTTGGTATCACGGCACCCATTTGTTGGCTCGAGGGCGGTGCTCACGTACCACCCACTTTGAGCCTGTGCTGAGCTTGGTACCGATGGTCTCAGCTGTACAAGCAGATGTCGAAGGAATATAGGGGCGGACGAAGGAGAGAAAAGGGGGTGTGTGCAAGGCATACCCGCGCAGCAAACTCGTAGTGGAGGCATCACTGCGCAGGCAGTTGCGCCGCGGGAGAGGTGAGAGGACTCCAATGTGTACTGGCGCACCAGCGCAGCCCGGAGGGAGTAACGGTCGGACGGGGGCAGCCTCCGGCAGCGTGCAAGGTGTACCCGGCCCTATCGCCTGTGCTGATGAGGTCAACAGGGAGAAGGAGGAGAAGTGGTTACAGGGGATAGTGACGAGGGGAGACTGAGGAGCGTGGAAGGTGTTCCCAACCATTGTAGCAATAGAGCGCGGAATGGGAGGAACGAGTCGCTGAGGTGAACGAGAAAGGGATAACAGCAGCAGTACACGCCCCCGCTGCAAGCTTCGCGATGCAGGCATCCGACCTGGTTCTGGCAAGAAGCTTCGAAAGGGAGCATCGGGCCAGTATGCACACCTCGTGAGGGCGCGGGCATTTGACTTGGTTACAACGGGATGATCATTCAGAGAGCGAGTATCCGGTCATGTTCTGACCGGAAGTTCGAGGCGCTCAACATTCTGAGGCAACAAGG